GTCAGTCGGCTCCCATTTCACCCATGGAGGGGAACTGAGAGGTAATATCAAATCTCCAAAGGCCTGAAATTTGGGGGCCTAGCTATCAACTGTCTGCCTCTAAGCCAGGTGACCTAAACCTGGCTGCCTCTGCAGTAGGGAGAGAAGAGAGATGTCTGGCACCTGGGATGGAAAATGTGAGCAATTCTGGTGGGAACAGCCCCTCCCCTGAGTGCACGCGTCCCTCAGCCATCATTCCTGACAAACGACTCACAAGACCTGGCCACAAAGAGGGTGGAGGGCTCGGCAAAGAGCTGAGAGATGCTAACAGGGAAAGCGGACACCAGCCAATGCAGGAGATGAAAGGTGGCTAAATGGATACAAAGGGCTAATTACCAGCTCTGCAAGCTGAGACCTCAGGGGCCTGGGCATCCTGCTTCTCTGTGCTGGGCTGTCACAGAGGGATGAGGTGGGGTGGAGAGGGGAGGGAGGGCAGAGGCCCTGAGGTGAATAACCTGGCAGTCCCCAAGGCGCTGGGAGGGATCTGCCTCTGAACACAAAACCAGTGAGCCTCTCCCCTCTCGGGTTCCGGAGCGGGGATAATCAACCTCAAACCTGCAATGGAAAATCGCCATTCCCACAGGTGGTAGGCCAGAAGTCTGTTAAGACTTGGCTGTTACTTTGTCCCCCATTTCTTATTACTTCTGTGACCTTGCTCAAGTCATTTTAACTTCTCTGAGCTTCAGTTGCCAGAGTAAAATGAGGAAGGAATTTCTGCTTTATAGTATCGTTGGCATGATTACATGCAGCTCCATGTTGAGTACCAGCATGGTACCCAAGGGGCTCAAAGTTGTGGTGGCTGATTCCCGAACTCTTCTCTTCATCTATAGATTGGGATTAATGTTCATTCCCATCTTATAGTGCTTTGGAGAGAATCAAATACCAGTATGTGTGAACATGTTCTGTAAACTTGGAATTCCTAATAATGGTTCTTATCAGGTAAAACTGCGGTCCCCAAGGAGCGCTTAGAGTGAGGGACTGAAAAGTCAATAGTCCCAATTGCTTGGGACGGGCACAAGTGAGCAGAACTCCTGGGTGTGCACTCACAATTCTAGGCCAGGTTCTAGGGAGAAAGGATTTTGACTTTATCACTTTTCTCCCAATGCTTCTGTTTTCCCAGGGTTTGGGTTGGGCCAGCTGGAACGAAAGCCACTGCCTTGGTCCAGGACCTAGTCTAGTCTTCAGTGGATTCCCTGTAGCTAGTGATCTTCCCATCATGCCCCACCCCACCCCCACAGACCTTTCTAGGGGCCTGCTGCCTCTCAGCTTCCCTAAGTCCGGGTTTCTTCTTTTTCTTGGAGAAAAACAATGGATTGGCCTTGTGTGTTTATTCCTTCCTAGGAGGGGCTGGTTTATAACAATGGGCAGATCTCTACCAGCATCCTGCTCTGCCAAGGGCTGAACGAATGAGCAGCAGCTAATCCAAATGAAAAGTCACCCTGCTTTTTGACTCCTAACAATATGCAAAGGCAAGAAATATGTATGTTGTTTGAAACATTTGCCTCCTGCTATTGTACCACCACCACCGCCGCCGCCATCATCATCATCATCAGCATCATCAGCATCATCAGCATCATCATCGTTATCTGCATTTTAATGACTTTTCAAAGTGAAACGTGGCTGGTAAGAACAGAAAGAATTATAGCAAAGGGACAGAGTGGTTCCTAACTGGATTCAGGGAGGAAGAAAAGTCTCATCTCCATTGGGATGCTAGTCACCTCCTTCTCTCCATCCGTGACACTTTCACTATGCTCAAATCCCCATGGCCTGGGACTACAGAATATCCACTTCACCCTCTCCTACCCTTCTCCGGTGTCTCTAATCCTATGGGAGACTTGAGGAGAGATTTAAGGCTTTGTAACAACTGTTGGATCTCCTTCCTTTGGATTAAAGATGCTTAAGCCTCCAGCCCCGAAACTTAAAAGAAAAGGAAATCCTCTAGATAAACACCATCCTTCATAAACATCTCTCAAACACACACCCATCCTGCAGGTCAAGAGTTCCAAATTCCAATTAATTAGCACTAATTGCTGCTGATAACTCTGGGTCCAGTGAGTTGACAGGGCTTTTGGAATGTTAAAGAACACTTCTCTCAAAGTTCTTCAGGGCAGTGAGAAAGAGACTGCAGTTATCTGGCATAGATGATTTCAAATCCCCACATCCTACCATCCTAAGGACTATATTAGTATTGCCCTTTAGAAAGAAGACTTGCCTCCTGGTCATCTCTGGGCCTCTAGGGATGACAGATAGCTTTTTCTCATCCCTCTCCATTGGTACAGCCAAATGTCCCAGAGCCACACCTACTCTCTCTCAAAAAGCCTAGACTGAGGCGGACAACCATTCCCTCATTTTCCATTTTGGAGACAAAAGTCTTGAATATTTGGCCTAGTCCCACAGCCATCCCACCCTTGTGTGGAGTCCCCTTCCGAACCCCTACCACATGGCTCCCAAAGACATCCCTGCATGGAAACAAGTCTCTCAAGTCTCTGAGGATTCCCTTACAGCCCTGCCCCATGGGTTTTGCTCGGCCGTCATGCAAAACCACCACCTCTGTGGCACACTACCAGGTCATTTGGCTTTCAGCCTCACAGTGTCTCCTGATTCTTACGCCCCTGCTCTAGGCATCATCCTAGGCTTTTCTTCAGACTCAGCTTCCTGGCTTCTCCTGTCCATCAGAGGAGGAGGATTCCCCAACCTACAGCTGCACTTCCACTTTCCCAACTTCTGTGAAACATCTCCATTTGGATGACACCCATCATCTCCAACTCACCTTGTCACAAAGTGGGGTCATCAGCTAATATACCTATCTTTCTTTGAGTTAAAAACATTACTTTTTCTTCCCAAATAGGAAGTTTTGCTTGATAGCAGGTCCTATAAAAGACCTGCTGGAGATTTTAGTTGGTCAGAGCTGCAGTATTGATGCCACAACATGGATACAAACAGGGCTGTATTCCTAGAGGCTGTCTACACTAACAGGGAGGCGATGGCCCTGCTGTCCTCTGATCAGACATATTCTTTCTGTTTAATCTAGAGCAGCCATTCTCAAAGCTCATATCCCAAGGTCTTTTCATGGAAGGAGTGTACATGGGGTTAAAATATTTTCTTAATACAAAGATGTTATTTGCCTTTCTCTCTGTGTTGACACCTGCACTAATGGCATAAGGAACACTGGTGGGTGAAACTGATGGCACCCTGGCAAGAATGAATGGTGTAGCAGCAAACTGTACTTACAGGTATTATATTCTTTACCACAGCACACAATAAAAAAAAAAAAGACTTAGTATCGTTGACAAAGCTGTAAAACTTAACTTTTATTAAACATTGACTCTTAATTTTTTTTAGTGTGTATTTATTTTTGAGAGAGAGAGAGAGAGAGAGAGAGAAGGTGGGGGAGGGACAGAGAGAGAGACAGAGACGGAGGGTCCAAAGCAGGCTCTGCACTGACAGCGCAAAGCCTGACGCGGGGCTCGAACTCATGAACCTTGAGATCATGCCCTGAGCCGAAGTCAGTCGCTCAGCTGACTGAGCTACCCAGGTGCTCCTAAATATTGACTCTTAGGTACATGTTGCTTTAGTATTCTATGTGATGAAATGGAAAGCCGGTAGACAGCTCGCTGCTGCTGTACTTCAGAGCACATCTCAAGGAAGAGCACGCGTGCAAAGGAGTTGCCAGCTGAACTAGCCACTATTTCCACAAAACCCCATGGTTACTTGAAAAAAATGACCGCCCAACAAACCATGGTTATTTTGACTTGGGTATCTGGGGGACATGTCCTCAAAAGTGAACAAAACAAGCATGTCACTTCATGGAAAATGACTAATATTTGTTACCAATGATAAAAATCAAACTTTCAAGCATAAATCATATCAGCCACCATAACCTTGTCAGCTTCCTAATTACTTGAAGACTTTCTGATGAGACCAGTAAAGACATGAACAAATGTGACTTTTTGACATTTTATAATGACACGTGTCAACATTTGGAAGACCTGTCTTGTTCAGCGAACGTGTGTCTTCCAAATGACCGACGCACCACATCACAAAACCAAACGTGGGTAAAAGACTCATTCAAAGTGTAAGACAGACTACTGGGTTTTTAATGTAAGAGTACAACTACTTTGTTGATGAGATTTCAGATTCCATGTTGCTACTAACCTTTAAGAAACTACCACTTGCTGAGTTTTGGTGAAATACCAAAGAAAAATATCTGAATAAGGCTATTAAGATATTTCTTCCTTTTCTTAGCTTTTCTAATATATCTGCATAGACCCGATTTTCTTTATTTACTCCAACCAACACTTATTGTAACAAATTGAATGCAGAAGCAGACATGAGAGGCTAGCCATTTTCTGTTAAGCCAAATATTAAACAGGTTTGCCAAAATGTAAAACAATGCCTTTCTTCTCACTAAACTTTTTTTTATGTTAGTTTGGTTTTGAAAACATATCTGTCTTTATTAAGAACTGTTATTTATATTAACATGCAATGGTTTTACAGTTATTTTAAAATAGGGTTTTTTAAATATTTTCTAATTATATTTGAAAGAGAGAGAGAGAGGGAGACAGTGCTTGAGTGGGGTAGGGACAGAGAGAGACACAGAATCTGAAGCAGGTTCCAGGCTCTGAGCTGTCAGCACAGAGCCCGACGCTGGTCTCAAACTCATGAACTGTGAGATCATGATCGGAACTGAAGTTGGAAGCCCAACCAACTAGGCACTTGGTTTTACTGTTTTTTTTTTTTTAAAGAATTTCATTTACTTATTTATTTATTTAGAGACAGAGCATGTGTATGAAAGCGAGCGGGGGAGGGGCAGAGAGAGAGAGAGACAGAGAGATAGAGAGAGACAGAGAGAATCCCAAGCAAGATCTGCATTGCCAGCACAGAGCCTGACACAGGGCTTGAACTCATGAACCATGAGATCATGACTTGAACCAAAATCAAGAGTCTGACACCCAACCAACTGAGCACCCAGGCACCTTGGTTTTACTGTTATTATAAAGGAGTTAATACAGAAAATTTTTACACATTCTGTTTTAATATCAAAAGATATGATCCACATAAACAAATACCTCCGGGGGTCCTAAATAATTGTTAAGAATGGAAAAGGGACTGAGATCAAAACATTCGAGAACTGCTGACCTAGAGAAAGAAAAAGCACCCTCGGGAAGATGACCACACAAGTCAAGGTTGAAGGACAGTATGTTTTCAGACTGAAAAGATTTGAGAGGAGCATAAAGCTGCCTTCAAACAGCCGGAAGGCAGATATGAAGAAAAGAGAGCAGATTTTTTAATTCCAGAGGGTGGATCGATCTAGGATCAGGGTGGAGGATCTCACCTCATCATACAACAGTCTAACAGAAGTAATAGCATCGGCCCTCTCCCCTAGAGATGGGGAAATCAAGGCCAAAAGAGGTGATGTGAGTTTCCTTAGGCGACACAGACAGAAGCCAAGCCAAGATTAGAAACCAGTTATCCAGATTTGTAGTCCATAATCTTACAGCTCTGAGAGGTTCGGAAATCCACATCACCGGCTGTGTCCAAAGAGCACCCAAGTGACCCAACGTCATGCCACTGTTGCATGCGCTCCCACGTCTGAGATGCTAGAGTGTCACGGTTGGATTCCACTTTTTGTTTGTATACTCTCTAAAAGAATTTTGAAAAATTCTGTCATTTCATTCATTTTTAAATCGACACCTAAAACTTCTGATATATCATAAACATCAATGTTTTAAAATAAAACGTTTATACCATTCTTTTAAATGTACCCAATGCCTTGTATAAGCATTTCAAAAAAATTTTTTTTAATCTTTATTTTTGAGAGAGAGAGAGATAGAGTGTGAGTGGGAGGGGCAGAGAGAGAGGGAGACATAGAATCTGAAGCAGGCTCCAGGCTCTGAGCTGTCAGCACAGAACAAAGCCAGACAAGGGGCTTGAACTCACGAACTGAGAGATCATGACCTGAGCCAAAGTCAGACGCTCAACCGACTGAGCCATTCAGGCGCTCCTGTACACAATGCCTTATAAACACCAAACCAACTTGGTGTCAACCCTCACCCATTAAAAAACTCATAAACAAGCTCTTAAATTTTATCCTTTTCTCTGCTTGAAAATGTTTCTCCATTCTACTGTTCTATAGAATTTTAACTTAATAGAAGCTTTTAGTCATGAGGTTTTCTCATACTTCTCTGCAGTAAAGAAATGTATTTATGGGTATACATTGATAGTTAATATTTGTATATCAAATGACCCTAAGGCCTGTTAGGGAAAAAAAAAAAAATCTGGATTGGCTCATTGCAGCTATTAGTGTGTAACTGATCAATAAAATACCACAAATAATTGTTACATACAAAAAGCAATCTTTTTTATTGGTTTCTTAATGTGATAGATAGGTGGGATTTTTTTTTTTTAATTTTTTTTTCAACATTTATTTATTTTTGGGACAGAGAGAGACAGAGCATGAACGGGGGAGGGGCAGAGAGAGAGGGAGACACAGAATCGGAAACAGGCTCCAGGCTCCGAGCCATCAGTCCAGAGCCTGACGCGGGGCTCGAACTCACGGACCGCGAGATCGTGACCTGGCTGAAGTAGGACGCTCAACCGACTGCGCCACCCAGGCGCCCCGATAGGTGGGATTTATGGAGCTTCCCAGTCAGTAACATTTTGAATGGACCATTTGTTTGGTTCCCTCGGGGCTTCAACACCCTGGGGAAAGTGCCTTAAAAGATTCAGGAGGGCAAGACACAAGTCCTTCTCTTAGAAAAGAGGAGGAAAAGAGCACCTGGGCGGCTCAGTTGGTTAGTCAGACTTCGGCTTGAGTCATGATCTCGCGGTTTGTGAGTTCAAGCCCCACATCAGGCTCTGTGTTGACAGCTCAGAGCCCGGAGCCTGCTTCAGATTCTGTGTCTCCCTCTCTCTCTGCCCCACCCCTTTTTGTGCTCTCTCTCTCTCTCTCTCTCTCTCTCTCTCTCAAAAACAAACATTAAAAATATAATAAAAAAATAAAACGGGTGGAAGGCAATCTTGACAGGAAAGGTAGGGAAAGAAAACCGGAGAAGCCCGTCTTCAGGAAATGCAATGTTAGAAAAGCAACAGAAGGAAGCTGAAGATGTGGAAATAGGTTTCCCGAAAATGCTCTCCGCTGTCACATCCCTTGGAAAGTTCCTGTGAACCCCAGGGCAGCTGTCCTCTGGTGTTAACACTTTGTTAAAACATCAAGTAGTACATACATAGAACATCATTAAGAAGTCATTTGGGGGGCGCCTGGGTGGCGCAGTCGGTTGAGCGTCCGACTTCAGCCAGGTCACGATCTCGCGGTCCGTGAGTTCGAGCCCCGCGTCAGGCTCTGGGCTGATGGCTCAGAGCCTGGAACCTGTTTCCGATTCTGTGTCTCCCTCTCTCTCTGCCCCTCCCCCGTTCATGCTCTGTCTCTCTCTGTCCCAAAAATAAATAAATGTTGAAAAAAAAAATTAAAAAAAAAAAAAAAAAAGAAGTCATTTGGCATGAAAACCTCTAATATTAGGGTGCCAAGGAAAATAGCCAGGAAGGATCCTAATGCTCCAACTGTCACATCTGAGGGGGCAAATGACCAAAGAAATACGGAAATCATAATGGAGTGTTAGCTGATCTTTAAGAATGCTTTCATCTAAGAGGATACAACGGTTGAAGAAAAGAAATTCCTTCATGATAACAATAGTGATGCCAGCCTTGGGAAGTTGGACACCACTGAAATTATTTATCCCTCCATGTCCACATGCACATTATGGCTCAGTTCTATTTTTTCCTTACTCATTTGTTTAAAAAATATTTTAAAAAAATGAAACAGTATCACCACACAGATGGAAAATTAGTATTGCTTGTCATAGGCGGTAACCATGAAAATACACTAACATTTGTGAAGTTTGTCCGAGTAACACCTAAATTGACTAGTCTGTGAATCCTACTGGAACATCGGCTTAGGCTGTTTACTTGTTGCCAAGAAGCTGAGGCTTGCACAGTTGTTGGGTAACAAGTCCCTGAGCACTGCGCCCAAAACTTCCATTATATTCAGATCTACTTCTTTTTTTTTTTTTTTTTTTTAATTTTTTTTTCAACGTTTATTTATTTTTGGGATAGAGAGAGACAGAGCATGAACGGGGGAGGGGCAGAGAGAGAGGGAGACACAGAATCGGAAACAGGCTCCAGGCTCTGAGCCATCAGCCCAGAGCCTGACGCGGGGCTCGAACTCACGGACCGCGAGATCGTGACCTGGCTGAAGTCGGACGCTTAACCGACTGCGCCACCCAGGCGCCCCAATTCAGATCTACTTCTAAGAGCACAGTCCCTCCTGAATTCCGAAGCAATATTTCTAAACCATGACCATTCCATGAGCCAGACCTGGAGCCCCAGAAAACCAAGATGGCCTAAGGGACTACCTGAATGTCCATCCAAATCTCATGGGTCTCCAGGCAGAGGCGACTTCACTAGTCTTCCTCAAGGTCATGCGGTGCTCCAATGTCATTAATAGAACAAAGGAGACAAGGAGAGCAATCACTGACCCATTTATATCTATAATCCAGAGTGTGTCAATCTACCCACAATGGGACAAAAATATAATCACCAGCTATTTTGCAATGCTGGCTAAATACAGCCTAAGCATCATTAATTGTTATCATCTCTGCTCAAAATAAGCAATTAACGAACTAAAGGAAGACGTACAACATCTAAACACTCTGAAATAACCAAACACCTTTCTGACTCTACCCACAAAGTTCCTCCATGATCCCAACTCTACAGATTTTACACCCCTGAAATTCTGTGTGCTAGAGTTTTCCAGACAAGAAGCTTATATTTTGATAAACACTTCTATTTGTTTTGTTTTTTAAGGTTATATATAATCCAGAGGCTTAATGATGTTGAATCTCTTTGAATTCTCAATGAATCTCTTTGAATCAGTAGCTGTACTTCCAAGAATTATTCCAAGGAAAGAAATCAGGCCTGTGCAGAGATTTATGTAAAATAATGTTCAGAGCAGCATTCTTTGTAGGAACAAAATACGCCACAACCAAAGATTCAGCAGTAAGAAGTGGCACATCACGAAATGAAACACCGTTTTACAAAGAAAAACAAATGGACACAGTCACAAATTATAGTAAGTGAAAAAAAGACTCACTAGAGCGTATGTATACGCTCTCTGTATTATATGTATATAATAAATATATATATTTGTCTCAATTTTGTCTTTTTAACATAAAGACATACAAAAATACTAGAAGCAAACATACCAAAATATTTCAGTGATAGAAATATGGTGGATTTTTCTGTATTTTAAATTTTTCTAAATTTCTAAAAGGAATAAATATTACCTTTTTAATTATAACACACACACACACACACACACACACACACACACACACAGCATCTTTTGACTTTAAAACTCTGTCCTAAGACTCTACTCTGAGGAAAATAGTATTTTATGGACAAAGATTTATATACAAAGTTATGTATAAATTGTCACATTATTTATAGGAGGAAAAACTTATACAATCTAAAAGTTTTCAACAACTGCAGAATGGTAAAAAGAATCATGTTGTAACTGTGGGACATGACATCGTTCAGTTATTAAAACTGCTGGCTTTAAAGCCTTTTTAAGACAAGTTGTAATGATGTGATGCTGATGACTTATACACTGTGAAGTAAAAAAGGCACAACACAACTGTGATTTTGGCTACGTGAAAATACAAGTGTGCTGGAAAAGAAGGGAAAAGTTGCTACAATGTGAACAGCTGTGACTCAGGCATGGTGGGGTTATGATGATTTAGAAAACAAAAAGGTTAAAGAAAGTTAAAATTCCATCACGGGCAGAGGTTACTTTTAAAATTTGAGGAGTAAGCGAAAGAACGATAAAATACGTACTTTATCGGTGAAAATATAAACTAACTGGGAAGAGGGAAAAGGAAGAGAAAATTTTCCTATAATCTCAACACTCCAATCTAAAACAACCACTATTAACATTCCACCGTCTGCCCTTTTGGTCATGAGGGAGTGCGTGTGAGTGTGTGTTTGTGTGCGCGCATGCGCACCTGTTCATGTGAGTGTCTGCGAGTGTGTGTGTGTGTGTGTGTGCGCACGTGCACACATGTATGAGTATATGAGTCTCAGCAGGCACCTCGGGGTCGGTCCACAGAGATCAGTGGCTGAGCTCAGTGCTGCCCACACCCCTTGGGCTAATAATGGTGATCTATTAAATTAGAGCTTGTACACAGGGCCGTGTCCGGAGAAAACATTTAGGAATTTGGGAAAGCAGGGACGCCTCTCAAATGCAGGGTGGATGAGTGTTCTACAAAGCAAAGGCAGAAGGTGAATTCAAGGTATACTATTAATTCTGTCTGGGAACCACCTTCAGATTCAAGTTAGGATAAAGTCAGACCTAGAAATCTAACACCTCTGAACTGAGATTTGTGAAGGCCCTCCTGGCTCAGGCCATTTCTACTCTGGGTGAGAGATCCAGAACCTTCCTTCCCATTGGCTCCAATAAAATTCATGGCTGAGCAGCAAGCAGTCAGTGCTGCCCTGGCTAAATGCTTGGGTGCCTCTTCTCTACAGTTTACCTAAGAAAGGACCTTCCGACAGTGCCAGCAAGGCAACGGATTCTAGTTGGGGTGGGG